GTCTCCCTTCTGGAAAATCTCTACTTATTTGGTGCCTGGGCAGGCTGCCATCCTGTTCAACTTTTTAACTGCTCCTGCTTTTACTCTCCTTCCTTTGGCAACCCCCAGGAACGAGCTGGTCCCTGGAGGATAGCACTTTGCCCTCTCTTCCCCTCTGTTCCCACTCGCCCTTGGCTATTTCAGCCATGTGTAAGATTTCACGTGCCTGTATTTCCACCCACAACTCCCAAACCTCCTCTCTCTCTCTCTCTCTCCCTTTCTTTCTCTTTCTCTTTCTCCAGCTTCTTGCAAAAAAGTTCCCATACTTATTTTCCAAAACCCTTCTGGATGTCATGTCAACACCTCCAGTTCAAAACTTCCACCACAACAAATTCCCTGCGTCCCCTGCAGCACTTTCTCCCTGGGATAAGATGGTCTCCTTCATGATTAAACTCAGTTGTCCCTGAAGCCATATGATGAGGTGGGGCGTTTGTGGAGTATTCAAGGGAGCATCTCCTCAGTAGACTAAGGTCAGCATCTCAGGAATTACACTTACAAATGGGGTGTTTGGTTCCCCTCCCCAACCTCCCCTCATGCTTTATTGCCTGGCAATGCCCTCTACACAGCAAGGTCTCTACCAGATGCCAGTACATTGATTGTGGATTCCCCAGCCTCTAGAAATTAATTTCTGTTCCTTAGCAATGGTGGTACCCCATCACAGCAGCACAGAGGGGGCTGGGGCTCCAAACGGCTTTATTATCTGAGCTTCCATTCTGAATTATGCAAAATGAAAACCTTGCCATCACCTTCCATCCTGCCCTCTCTCTTCTTCTCTAACATTCAAACCGTTGCTCCATCTCATTTACTTCAACACCTCCATATTTCGACTTCCCGGTCTCTGTGCGCCTTTCCAGTGCAGTTCACGCACTCCTTGATCCTCCCAGTGGACTCCTGAATTATCTGCCTTCTACAATTCATCATGCAGAAGGACACATTCTGAGACTGAGCTTTTACCATTATACACCCATTGTCTAGCATGCTTCTCCCCAGTGGAAAAGAGAGAAAATGAAGGATAACTGACTGCTTCTATATCGGAGCTACACATATAAAAGAATGGTTAGTCGTGCATCTGAAACCTCAGTCCAGGGCTGGGCCTCCACCCATCACCCACACCTGAAAGCATCTCCTGAAGAGAGTTATTAAAAAGTCAGTGAATGATGTTTTATACATAACTCTGCTTTATCCATAGTCCTGACACTGTTCTGAGGGTAGAGCAAAAGCTACCATATTCATTTTACCAGCGAGAAGATGCCAATATATGCAATGTCACAGACCCACCTAATGTCTAGGGCAGGACTAGATTTGGTGTCTCTTGCTCTCTGATTCCCACTGACTAGAAGAATTCCAGGTTTTCCTATCAGACCTGCACCTGCCACTCATTACATGAACAAGCATGGGATCTCTTTAAGTATTGCCCCAGTTAGCTTTCTATTGCTGCCATAAACCACCACAACCAAAGGCAACTTGGAAGAGAAAGGGTTTATTTCATCTTACAGCTTGTAGTCCATCATCCAGAGAAGCCAGGGCAGAAACTCGAGGCAGGAAGTGATGCAGAGGCCATGGAGAAATGCTGCTTACCGGGTTAGTCCTTGTGGCTTCCTCGGCTAGCTTTCTTAGAGCATGCAAGGTGGCCAGCCCAAGAATGGCACTCTCCAGTGACCCACCCATATTATCAATTAAGGAAATGCACCACAGGCTTGCATGTAGGTCAGTCTGGTGGTGGTACTTCGTCAATTGAGGTTCTTTCTCTCTTCTAAAAGGACTCTAGCTTGTTTCAAGTTAACATATAACTAGCCGCACAGCCACTTACTCGAGATGGCTCAGTTGTTAAAGACACCTGCTTTCAAACATGGTAACCTGAGTCTGATCTTTGATACCACATGGTAGAAGGAAAGAATGGCTCCAAAGAATGTACACACACACACATACACACACACACTACATAAGTGAAAAAATGTAGGCCCACTTCACAGTTTTCTTGGGAAGATTGAAGGATATAAACAAAGTGAAAATGCCCACCACAAAGAAAAGTGATAAACACTAGATCCGTCCTGTCCATTTAACTATGCCACAGTCTGGGCAGACCATTTGAAGACACAAACCGGATATATGTTTTTCACATCTTAGAGCCAGAGCCCCCCTGCATAGAGAAATTCCCCTTCAGTTTTATACATTAACCAAACGCAGAGTTGATTGCATTAGAATTCATTAATACACATACTCTGCTGTCTTTGGAGACCAGGCAGAGGGTTACACCAGGTTCCTGGCACCTGGTGAGGCGTGTTAGTCTGCAGACTAGATTAAGTGCACATATGGCACAGCATAAGCGCTGGAGAGGCATCGTGCCCTTCACTGAGTACTGTACTTACTATCACCTTTGTTTCTTTTGGGTAATGACAAGAAGCAAGAGAGCAAACGAGGGAAAGAGAGATACCGGGGGGGGGGGGGGGAGAGGGGGGAGAGAAATAGGTCTAGTAAAGACTGAACAGTGGCTGAAAATCAAAGAGAGGAATAGGGGTTATGAATGTGAAACATTTCATAACAAAATAAGAAAATAAAGACTCAAGGATAAGAGAACAGGCTCTCAGCCCCACACTGCAAGGAGTACATGGACAGTACAAAAAGAAAGGCCTGGATGGTGGAGGGAAAAAAAGGGGGAATACAGTCCCTGCCCCCTTTCTCTGACCATGACCTGCAATAGGAAGGCCCAAGTTCATCTGCTGAGGCAAAGGCCGAGCTTTAACTTCAAAAAGCAGCTACAATGAGCCAGCACCCTCGGGCCACAGGCTCCTTCAGTCAAGTGACCTTGGCTGCTTGTTTCCATGGTAACAGTGCACATCCCAAACTGTTCCTTCCTGTGTGGGAGGCGACATTTCAGAGAGAGAGGAAGGCAGGATTTAACACTGGTTTTTCTCTCTTCTGACCCTTCTCCTCTGGCAAATTATATCCTTCTTCTGAGTATTGCAGTCTCCTGAGAAAAGCAACCCCAGAAGAGGACGTTGCTATGACACTATTTGCAGATGCGTGCCCAGGACACCGTTTTCAAGGAAGATGGAAGTTGTGTTGGCTTTGTTTTCACATGGCGCTGGGCGTTCCTCGGCAGCTCACTACTCCTTTCATGATAGCTTCCCAAGGAGCAGGCCCAGTGTGTTGTCCCTGTGTTGAAAGAGAGGAGTCAGAGGGGTTGGAGAGCTTCCCCAGAGCTCCAAAGCATGCAGTAGCAAGTAAGGCTAGAAAGCAGACAAGACAAAGCTGAGCATCTACCAGCCTCCTCAACACGGGGTCCCGCTGCAATCCAGCCCTAGCCTAAACCACCCCCCCCTGCCATCCTGCAGCTGGTCAAATGTCTGCCCCACCCCAACCTCTGCTTCCATCCTTTATCCTGCAGTTTTCTTCAGCAGCTTTGTTTCATACTTTACAGTAGGGAACAAAAGTATGCTACGTTTAAACATGGAGTTTAAATTGCGATATAAGATGAATATTCTACCTGTCCCACAACATCTAGGGTTAGAGCACCATTTTACAGGATGAGAGATAATCTTCCTTCAGTTGAGCCATGATTGAACAGATTTACCACAAACCCTGCAATCATAGCTCCCAATGCATTGTGGGGTCCACGTTCCAACCAGCATATTGAGCCAAAAGTACTCAACCTTTGGCTCAACTTCAGCCCTTCCCGGTAGTTCTGACCCCATGAGTCTATCCCTGAAAGAAATCTCTTCCTCTGCAGTGCATCTGTGACTCTGACGTACAAAGGTGTAATTAGAACAGCATGGAGCCAGCAGGATAATCCGTTTACCTCATCCTGCACCATTCATGTGCTTCTGAAATATGTTTCTAATATCTGAGGTGCACAGGGCCAAATTCCCTTCTCAGTTTTTCACATGCATGAGTAAATCCACACAGACCAAACCCCTTGGGCCCTAGGTTCTGCTTAGAAGTTCTATTTTTTTTTCTTTTAAAGAAAACAAATATTCCATTAAAACGACACAGTGTACTCTGCATATTTTTAGGACAATTAGAGTTTAGAATTCCCTCTTCGTCCACTCATGCTAACAAAAAAGTTTTCTTAACTACTTCCTTACCAAGAATGACTAGAAGCTGGGGTAAAAAAAATAAAAAAAAAATCTTTTCTTTTATTATAATCTCTCCATGTTGCTTATCAATGTTATTGGCTGGTAGATTGGGATCCTTGCACATTACTCCAGAAGGATCCAGGCTTCCTTGCTCCATTACTAGGTCAATCCTTTTTAGGTAACTGTTTGCAAACCTATGGAAACATTTACTTGAAATAGGAAAAAAAAAAAAAAGAAAGAAAGAAAGAAAAGCTCAAAAGAAACAGACGTGCATACAAGAAAGATTCCCCCTTGTCTGCTTGGTTTGAAAATGGGTCACAGGTTTTGTTCATTATTCTTTAGCGCTTCTGACTGTGCAAATAAACTTTTAAAGGAGAGGCTGCTCAGGCTGCCAGGCTGGCCATGTCTCAGCCTTCGAGACAGAGATATGGCAAGACTAAGATGGAAAGACCTGGAAATTTTTCTTGGGGAGGAGAGTGTGAAACAGAACTCCAGCTGTGAACTTCGCATTTGATTGCGTTCATAAGTCTGTGCTGGTTGTTCGCATGGCAACACCCTGCCCACTAAGCCAGGACTGCTTGGGCCACACATGTGGATGACGTGTGCCAAGACAGCGTGCAAATCAAATGTTTTCTTGCAACCAAATTTGGAGAGACTTAACAGTACCCTTCAAGCCACTCACATTCGTGTCCAAAAGCTCCCGGACCTTTGCAGAAGGTGATGTAAGACCATGCTCAGCTTGTTTTCCTATCCCTACAAAGTAGATCCTTTGCGGAAGGCTGACTCTGGAGATCAATAGAACGCAGCAACGGCTTGCAATAGCCTAGAGACTAGAAATTGTATGTATGTGAAAAGATCAGACAGATGTGAGTCTCTCCGGGGTAAATGTGTTTATTTAAATTAAAAAATATTGTGAAAATTACAAAGCGTTAAATACAAAAGACAACTGTCTACAACTCAGTATACTGGAAGTATATACATCCCTTTGTTACAGGCGCAGACAGACTCGCACCGCACCAGGATTAAGCAATGGAAAATGTGACAACGCACATGTCTGTCGCAGTAAAGTTTCAGAATTCAAGTGATTCCAGGCAAGAGGCCAAACTTAACTTGGCTTCTTTCAACTTAAACGGCCCCCTTTGGAGGCGCTCCACACTTTGAATCTTAAAGTGAACAGACGGCTCCTTTCCACTTCCAATGTAAATGAACACTAGCTCTGATTCAAAACGGATTGAAAAACCCAGCTCCTACACTGTTAACCCCACATAGGGACCAGTAGTAAGTGCTTCATCCAGGGAGAGTTAAGATAAATAAAACTTAAAAAGGTTTCTCACTAGAGGCAAACTTGACGTTTTGGAGGTTTTTCTGCTTCCCTCTGGTCTTCAGGGGGCAAAAGAACAGTTGCAAGGCTCTGGCCTACAGAACTTCCAGGAGCACTGGTAAGCGGCCCTGAGCACCTCCTTTTAGACTTCTCTTTCCCTCAGCTGGGAGTGTTAACACCCTCCCATCCACAGAATTCTGCAAAGGAAACTGCTGTCTGCCTCTTCGGCCTCATCCTGGGAAAGCTACAGTAAGGCTAACTGCCGATCGGCCCCAAATTCCCCAGTTACATGTCTCCAGAGTCTCCAACTGTGCCTTTAAGTCAACACATCTTTCTCCAGACTAAGCGGCCAAAGGGGAAATACTTGGTCCAAACTTCCTCACACCAGTCCGTGGAAGAGGATTTATCACACAGTACAAAGTCTAAAGATGTCCTCCCAGCCCCCTGGGGCTGCACAGCCTCAGGAGCCTCATGAAGGCAAAGAGCCTCATGATGACATGCCCAGGACCATACAGTAAATAAGCATCAGGAATCAGACAGGAGAGCGCAGTGCTTGAACCCCAGCTCTGTGCTATCTTGCCTGAGTAGCCCTTTTAGGTCTCAGCTACGTGACAAACCCCCACATTATGAGGCCTGCATGTGTCCTCTCTGGCCTCAGAAAACTAGGCTGGGGAAAAAAATAAAAAAGAGCTCTAGCAGACCCATCAATGATTTGGCCTTATGTAACCCCACCATTACCCAGTCTGTAAAGGTCAGGAGGACCCCCTGAACCGCCATCCTGAAAGTAGGCTTGGTTCTCAGGAAGCTCACTGACAAAGAAAGCCATGCCCACCTGCAATGCTGTACAGCCACAAGTCAGAGTTCAAGCTCACAGGTGAGACAAAAGCTCGGAACAGGTCATAGCTTCTCTCCTCCCACTGGGCAACCAATCTGGGTTCTATCTTCAGCTTTCTCCCACCTCCAGAAGGAAGATGGAACTGTCTGTGACCAAATGTCACAGGCACAAAATAAAGGTACTTACAGCCAATTAGATCTAGAAGAACAAAGCTCTAGGCAAATTAGCAAATCAAAACTAGTCCTTCAGCCTGCCCTGGGCAGTTGTCAGCCCTGGGCACAGACAGATAGATGCTGCAGAAATTACCCAGGGCATCCAGTGAAAAAAACAACACATTATTCAGCCAGATGTTGAACAGGCACCCAACACCCAGCCCCCAGATTAATGGTCATGCTGTACGTCTCTGGGAGCTTTTCAGTGATGAGTCGGAACCACAGGAACCTCGAGGACTCCGGCCGAGCCTGTCTCTCCCTCCCCCATGCTGGGGGCTTGCCCACAGTCTGTTCAAAGTGGCAGCTGCAGAGCAAAAGTGAAACCAGGCACTTGGCAAATGTCTTTCCTCTGTCAAGCGTGGCTTATGGAGGCCAGGGGGTGCTAGGAATTCTGATGAATGTTTTCTGACGACCCTTCGCTGCTTTCATTGAGAGGCGTCTCGGAGGTCTCCTCCAGCTCATCATCAGCCCCTTCCTCCTGGATGGTGAGGTGCACATCCGGAGAGGAGGACTCAGAGCTCACACTGTCCCCTTCCATAGAGCAGAGGGTGCAGGACAGCGCAGGCGCCATACTCTCCTGGAGCATATTCAGCATCATGGGCACCTGCGCTGACCTCAGGCCGGACATCATAGGCAGCGGCTTCATGGCCTCCCCCCACAGCCTCTCCTCATCTTTGTACAGCAGCAGGAGGCTGGACTTCTTCTCCCGCCTCTTGGATTTCATGTAGCCCAGCATGATTCCGATCAAGAAAACGCCATAGAAGGACATAACGACCAAAATATAGAAGTATTCATTGCCATTACCACCGCCGCTGTTGCCAGGCACGTGGGAACCGAGGGGGCTGCTGGACGCTGCGGCACTGGGGTGCGTGCTGTTCAGGGGTTCCATCCTCAGCATGGAAACGCCGCTCACACAGCCGGGGTCTGGAGAGGTAAAGCTACGAGTTAGACCGTCCATGTGGGTCCACAGTGCCGGCAGAAGGCAAGCACATGGTTCGCGGAGTTAGAAGGCGTCTCTCCAGACAAGTAACAGGGGTTGACTCTGAGAGCTTGGAGCAAGTCAAAGAAATCAAGCGAGAGAATGGAGGAAAAGTGAGAAAAACCTTCACCAGCTAGAAAGACACAGAGAGATGGATGATAGATAGATAGATAGATAGATAGATAGATAGATAGATAGATAGATAGATAGACAGACTTCATTTGCATTTCAGATATGCATTAGTTCTATACTTTCAACATTATATACGATATAAGGATTCATAGAGGGGGAAAAAACCTTAAAATTTGAAAGGCATGTTTTAACCAGCAGGGCAGAAGCAAACTTAGTATTTTGTTTCAAAACCTTCAAACTTTTAAAGCCAAGTTTCCTTATAAGAAGAAGAAAGCAGGAGCACTTTCTCTATTAATAGTTAGAACTATCCCCCTTGCATGTCTCTGAAGAGAAGGAGTCTTGCTAACTTACCAAAGGCTGACAGTTTGTCCCAAGCGTGGAACTCCTAAATGGCTGAAAGCGGGGATGTTTTTCTTCTGTGTCAGGCTCTGCACTCTGACAGCCCGGCTGCTGTCCTTGGGATATATAGTCAAGAAATGCATCGTCACGTGTTCCGGGAGGAAAATTTACAACAGAGGTTGACTGTGGCGGAGAGCGCTGAACTCAAGCACTGCGGTTCAACTCTCTGAACTTTGCAGCTGTGAAGAGAGAAAGAGGGGGGAGAAGGAGCTGCCTGCCCCGCCCGCCCCAGCTCAGAGCAAGAGGCTTAGGTGGCCAAAACCAATGTGTGGAAACAGGGGCAAAGAATGTGCTACATTTGAACTGTTACCCCCAAAGTCCACTGTCACTGACAAGGAGTTTGTGTTTCCTTTCCCTTGCAGGAAATAACCACTATGTCTGTCCTCTATAGGTTTTCAGGGGGGATCCAATCCCGTCATTAGAATGAAAGACAGCTGGAAGCAAGGGCAGAATTTATAGTCAAGAAGCAGGGGCTTCTGTTCTAAGTTCTCTCACTAATTGGGTGAATTTGATAAACCTTTCTTTAACATTTCCAAGCCTCGGACAGCTGCAGTAAAACAGTCGGCTACGGGGGGTGGGGGAGGGCAGGACCGGTCAGCAGGCGGATTTCTCAGAACCTTCTGAGTTTTAAGCTCGGTTCAGCTAACCCACTCTAAAATGCAAGGCTGGCTGGTGCAGGCTAGCACTTAAAAAGCACATGTGTACAGAGCTCACAAATACAGTCTTTATTTTCTCTTTTGGGATCTTCCAGATTCTCCCCCAGGAATTGGTGGACACCTGTAATCCAGCAGTTGAGAGGCTAAAGCAAGGGGACCATGAGTTCAAGGTCTGCCAGGGTTGCAAAGACAGACCCTATGTGAAAACAACAATCTTTCAGATTCTCTTTAGCGATCTGTCTGAAGTGGAAGCGTGCTGGTGAGAGCTATTAAGGGCAGCCTTTGCTGAATTTTACCTCACGTGGCCGTGCCTCGGAAGCACCGTACAGACTGTTCTATTCACACACACCTGTATATCTCAGGCAGGTCACAGGAGAAGCGGGCACTCTCTCACTGAGCCAGCCACAGGAGCGTGCGGTGGCATGCTTGGAAGATGAGGACAGACCCACAAGAAACACTCCTACCAGTTACTTGCCGTGGTATTATTGCTCGTGAACCTTGGGACAGATAAGATCAGTCCTCACTAGGAGATTGCCAGGCACGGCAACCGGGAAACAACAAGGTAGAGAAACAGATCACCAGGTCTAAGGAGCAGGAGCTACACAGCCAGGTGTCAGAAAGCAAAGCAGAGGCCGAGTATCAAGGCAAAATCAATCCCAGACATGAGCCTGCAGCCCCAAGGCACGAAAACCAAGAGCCACCCTGGCTTCCGGAACAAATCTAGAAAGAAGTCCTGGGGACTGGGAAGCTAGAAACAGGGAAAGCCAAATCCAGTGCAAGGACCTTTGAAACCACAGACCGCCTGCTGTTGACCCTGTGACCTCTGGTGCCCCGGAACCCTGCAGGGGTCTTTCTAGGAAACAATTTGAGGAAAGCATTGAGCACTGTTAGGGAGAGGTGACAGATCAATTTATGTGGTTTGCTGTTGTGGCTGGATGCCCCACCCCCATTACCTAAGGCTTCCTGGTGGCATGGAGGCCTCTCTCCAGACTTTCCAATGCTTTTTTCTTTCATACCTCCCCTACCCTGAGACTGAAAGTTAGGGCTTGGGCTTGCTGGCCTACCTCACTCAGCCTTCTCCCCAGGCCTCCTTCACAGCAAGATGGTGATTAGAACCACAGCTGTGAGCAATGATGTTAATAATGACAGACCCGAGCGACCTTCTGGAAACTGTGTTCTGTCTGGGCAAGAGAGTCGGTAATCACTCATTCACTTTGTGACACAGCTTCGGGAGACAGCCATGATAAGGGAATTAACCCATATCAGAAATGCTTCATTTCATTCTGCAGCTGACACTTCCATTTTCTTATCAGAAATGTGTCTTAATTCTGAGGAAGACCACGTTCTCTCCATTTCTTCTTTTAATGGATGTGCCTTATGAATCCTGTCAAAGAAATGTTTCCTTAAGCCAACATACCCAAAATTTCTCTAAATTTGTCTACCATTTTTAATAGTTGTTTTATAAATCTAAAACTATGATATATTTTCAGTTAATTTCATTTTCTGATGTTAAGCATGAACCGAGCTGTGTGTGTCTGTGTTGTGTAAGTGTGTGTGGGTATACTCATCACTGTAAGTGTGGGGGGCAGGGGCAGTGGTTGACCCTGAGATGTCTTCTTCAGTTATTCTCCATCTCAGCTTTTGAGACAGGGTCTCTCCATGGACGAACTTTGCTGGACTGACCAAGCTGAGTGACCAGCACTGAGCCCCTGGGATCTGTCTATCTCTGTCTCCCAAGCACTAGGCTTTTTATGTGGGTACTGGGACCCCAAATTCAGGTATCTGCGCTTGCACAGAAAGTGCTCTGCCCATTAGGCCATCTCCTCGGTCCAAGGGTCTAACTTTTTTTTTTTTAACACATGGAAGTCCATTTGTCCAAGCACTATTTACTAAAAGGAGTCTGCTTCAGTCCTCTCCTAGCACTCATGTCAGGCAGCTCACAGCCACCTGTCACTCCAACTCAGAGGGCCTGACACTGTCTTTTGGACTCTGTGGCCCTCGACACACAGACATACAAAAATATGCATAATAAAAAAATTAGAAAAAATCTTTAAAAAATAATCAACTCACCATGTATGTTCAGGTCTGTTTCTCAACTTTTTATTCTGCCTTCTCACAAAACCGCTTTAAATTTAAGTAAGTGTAAGGCATGCTGCAGTTGCTCTCTAGCTGGAAGCAGAGGCAGGTGGGTCTCTGTAAGCTCAAGGCCAGCCTGGTCTACATAATAAGTTTCAGGCTAGCTGGAGCTATATGTAAGAACCCCTCTACAAGAAAATATATATATTTACCTGGGTGGGTGTCTATTCCGTACCAAATTTACATCAATATTGTGAAATAGTATAACCATTTCATTCAAAAAGAAATTGAAAGGCCAACGACTAAGCAATTTTTCCAAAGCCATGCCAGTAGTGATATAATCAGGAGTGTGTGTGTGTGTGTGTGTGTGTGTGTGTGTGTGTGTGTGTGTATGCGTGTGTACTTGTCTATATATGTACATGAATGTGCATACGTGGTGCTTAAGCACGTGGACACAAGGGCTATGTTGTTTGTCCTCCTCAATTGCTCTCCACCTTACAAGGTTTTTCAATGAACCTTGACCTAATCAATTTAGCTAGCTTGGCTAGCCAGTGAGGTCCAGAGATTGTCCTGTGTCAACCTCCCCCCAGCTCTGCAACTCCAGATGTGTGCCATGGCAACCAGAATTGTACACGAATGCTGAGAATCAAACTCAAGGCCACATGCTTGAGTGGCAGGCACTTTACCCATTGAACTATTGAAAGGGTTGGACGAACTTTGTAACCTGTCTGTCTTCTAAAGCCTATAGCTTTGAGTTTTAGGTTCAGGTTAAGCTAAAGCCTCTTAGTACCTTTCCAGAGAATGGAGAAATGTGACCCTATCTGTGAGGACAGATAGAAAAAAAAGCGAGAAAGCAATGACCTTCGCTCAGCAAAAAGAACGATCAGACCCTTGTCTTCGAGATAATGTTTCTTATCAACCAACCCAGATGGCCCCAAATCCTCTTCTGAGTAGCTCCTGACCAAGAGCCTGCAGCCCCAATCTTCAAGGATGAGCTAACCACCCACACCTTCAATTGCAGCTGTATCCACACTTGGCAGGACTGGCCAAGCTTGAGCACCTAAGACTAACCAATTATCTTACTTTATAGCTTCCTCATCCAATCCTAAATTGCCAAGACTGCAACTTCAAATTTCCCTCAATTTTTCTTTTAAAAACCTAAAGGCCTTTGTCTCCCGGTGCCACTCTTTGCTGACCGGCAGGGGTGACCCCATTGCACAATGGTTAAATTAAACCTCTTGCTTTTGCAACGAGTCTTGGTCTGTGGGAGTTTCTGGGAAGGGTGCAATCTTGAACTCCTGAGCTGTGAGACCCCAGGTCTTACACTATGTCTTCCTGTATTATCAAGATTTGAACCTGTGGCACACCAAAGCCTGCTTTCTTCTACTCATCCTTGGTCTCACTGAAAGGAAACTGAAAAGTAATTCAGAGAGAGTAGAAAATGAAAGTTTGGTATTTATCCAACTTCTCTGGGGTCTTTATAACCCTAAAAGCTCAAACATAAGTATAAACATTGCATTATAAATTGCCTTTTTCTGAAGTTCATGCTATTCTCAGCATTAGAAGCTGTACCTCCTTAAAATGTTCTAGAAAGACTATGTCAGTGAAAGAGTAAAACCCTTGTCCTACATTCATGTGACCCACGTACAACAGTTTCCCTTTAGCCTACATGCACAGCTTGTCTGTGGTCTTCTGTTTTGATGTGGTGTGGTGTTTTCTTTCTCCCCCCCACCCCCGACTCATCCTGACACACACACTTTCTCTGGAGTTTTGAGTATTTGAGTACTTTCATTTCCTGATGACGTCATTTTCACTAGATGACCCAAGAGTCCTTGGCCACACATCTCTGAATTTATGTTAACAGCTTCTGTTACTAAACAAAGTCCGTGCTGGGATAACAGCAGAACCATGAATCTCATCGGATTAAACATCAGCACAGAGGGCAGAGATCTGACCCAGCTCTTTCTTGCCCGTGCTACGTGACTGGCTCCATTGCATAATTTCTCTGTATTTTTGTTTCAGCCATCCGCAAGCATGTCAAGAGAGGCAGGCATGTCAAGAAAAGGATCATTAATTGCGCCAAGATCCTTGGCAGTGTCCCGTCTTCCGCCAGGCTGTCCCGCTTCTGAGCAGGCTGGGCTGCAGGTCTGACAGAGCTCTGCACAATCAAAATCCCTGCATCTGCCACTGCTTCTCCTCTCCCAGAAACTCCTTCTGAGAAGCTGTGTCTGGGAATGCTGAGCCTGGCTCATTCCTGAGTCACCCTCCCCAGACTCACACTTCTCAACATTCCTAGCACTTGCAATAAGATGGGGACAGGGCTGGGTATCAGCCAGGTTTGT